ATGATGATGATGATGCTGATGTTGATGATGGTTTCATGGTGATGATGGTGATGATGAGCAAGGTGAGGATGAGGATGAGGATGATGATGAGGATGCGGCTGCTGATGATGATGCTGCTGATGCTGGTGATGATGATGATGATGATGGTCATGCTGATGAGGATGATGATGATGAGGATGAGGATGAGGACGAGGATGATGATGATGAGGAGCAGGATGATGATGAGGATGAGCATGCTGATGATGATGAGGATGCTGATGATGAGGAAGAGCAGGATTATGATGATGACGATGAGGATGAGGATGAGGATGATGATGATGATGATGAGGATGATGATGATGATGATGATGGTGGTGATGATGATGATGATTATGATGATGATGTAGATGATGACGATGAGCATTATGTGGATGAGGAGATTGATCATGAGCATGATGATGATGAGGATGATGATGAGGACGCGGATGAGGATGAGGATGAGGATGAGGATGATGATGATGATGATGATGATGATGATGATGATGATGATGATGATGATGTTGAGGATGATTCGGATAATGATGATGATGCTGATGATGATGTTGATGATGATGCTGGCGAGGATGAGAATGATGGTGAGGATGATGAGGATGATGAGGATGATGAGGATGACGAGGATGATGATTAGGATATGGATGATGAGAATGAGGATGATGATGAGGACGATCATGATGAGGATGCTGGTGATGATCAGGATGATGATGACGATGATGATGATGATGATGATGACGATGATGATGATGACAATGCTGTTCACTATGACGATGATGATGATGATGGTGATGAGGGTGGTGAGGTTGATGCTGAGGATGAGGATGCGGATGATGATGCTAATGATGATGATGAGGATGAGTATGAGGATGATGATGAGGAGGATGAGGATGAGGATGAGGATGAGGATGAGGATGAGGATGAGGATGAGGATGATGATGAGGTTGCTGTTGATGCTGATGAGGATGCTTATGATGATGTTGACGATGATGATGAGGACGATGCTGATGTTGAGGAGGATGATGACGATGCGGATGATGATGCTGATGATGATGATGAGTATGATGAGGATGATAGCGAGGATGGTGATGATGATGCGGAGGATGATGACGCTGAGGATGATGAGGATGACTATGAGCATGATGATGATGATGATGATCACGATGATGATGATGATGATGATGATGATGATGATGATGATGATGATGATGCTAATGTTGATGATGATGATGAATACGACGATGATGATGATGCTGATGATGATGATGATGATGATGGTGATGATGATGATGATGATGATGATGATGATGATGATGCTGATTATGATGAGGATGTTGATGATGATGATGATGATGCTTATGATGATGATGGTGATGATGATAATGATGATGATGATGATGATGATGATGATGATGATGATGATGATGATGATGATGATGATGATGATACGGTGGTGGTGATGATGACGATGATGATGTGGTGATGAGGATGAGGATGATGATGAGGATGAGGATTATCATGATGAGGAAGACGATTAGGATACGGATAAGGATGATGATGCTGATGATGATGATGATGATGATGATGATGATGATGATGATGATGATGATGATGATGATGATGATGATGATGATGATGATGATGATGATGATGATGTTGTTGATGATGATGATGATGATGATGATGATGATGATGATGATGAGGACGAGGAGGACGAGGAGGAGGATGAGGACGAGGAGGACGAGGAGGAGGAGGAGGAGGAGACTGCACGCTATTTATATCAAGGCTGTGCGCCTCACTCGCCCCTGTCAGAGGGTAGAATTGCGATTCTCACTTTTGCATATGTGTCAGAACTGGTCGGCCGACACTGTGCGTTTCTTAGGCTTGGGGAAGAAGGAGGAGGAGGAGGAGGAGGAGGAGGAGGAGGAGGAGGAGGAGGAAGAGGATGAGGAGGGGGGGAGCAGGAGGAGGAGGAGGAGGAGGAGGAGGAGGAGGAGGAGGATGAGGATGATAATTTCGGAGAATTCGGTGACGACGAAGTCGAGACGCGCCTTTGGGGACGCAGGCCATCTCGGGGAGACCAGAAGCGCTTGGGCCCCCTTAGTGAGGCACTGGCTTGCCTTCTCATAGGCAAGAAGTCACATATTTCCCGTTTTTAGCCAGGGGGCTTACACTCCTCGAACAGCCCCTTCACATCCCCCATCATCGTCGGATGCTTCGGCACGGCGACCACATGTCGTACAATACCACCATGCCGAGCAAAACTCAGCAGATCTCGTGGTGTAGGACTCGTGGACTGATCGAGTTCCAATCTGGATACCACTAAACAACCCTGTGACAGCCTTTGCTGCAAGGTTGTGTGATTTACACGATTTAAGCCAACGTTTGATGACCACAGCCTCAGCTCGCTTGCCAATTAGCTCTTCATCCGCACTACGGTTTACGCTTCGCGAATCACCACCAGCCCAGTCAGGAACCCTGCCCATGAGAGCTGTCGGGACATGGAGGGAAGAGGCACATATAGTGAAACAGAGCGTGCAAGGAGAGGAGAGGAAAGCAGGTGTTGAGCCATCTTGGAGACAATCTTCGAGCATCGGAGGCCTGCTTGGAGCTACGTGGGTGTCTTGGCGGATATTGGGGTCCTCTTGGAGCTCTTTTGGGCCATCTCGGGGCCCTGTTGGGGCTTTTTTGGGGGGGGGGGTCTTGGGGTCCTCTTGGGGCTCTTTCGGGGCGCCTTGGGGCCCTCATGGGGCCCTCTTGGAGCTCTCTTGGGGCTCTCTTGGGGCCCTCTTGGGACCTATGGGGCGCCTCTTGGAGTCATCTTGGAGGCCATCGACCCAGGGAGGGGGGGGGGGGGTCCCTAGATTCCCCCCCCTTCCTGGGCTATCGAAATAACCTCTTGGGTCGCTCTTGGGGCCCTCTTGGAGCGATCTTGGGCGCTCTTGGGGCAGTCTTGGGGGCCTCTTGGGGCCTTCTTGGAGCTCTCTTGGGCCATCTTAGGGCCATCTCGAGGCCTCAAAAGCGCACCGGGAGCGCACCGGGAGGCGTCAATGTTTTTGACGGATTTTGGCTTCTCGGGGAGGTCCTGGGAGGTCGCCAACATGACCTGGAAGCGTCTTGTGGCCCTCTTGGGGCCTCTTGGAGGCATGTTGTTAGCTATCTTGAGCCATATTGGGCTATCTTGAGTGATCTTGGAGACTATCTTGGGCTCTCTGAGGCCCTCTTGGAGCCATTTTGGGCGAAACAGGCCCCTCTGACACCTCGCGCCCCCCCCCCCCCCCCCTGTCCAGGTCCAGGGGAGGGGGTATGGGGGAGGGGTACGACCCTCCCCGAAGGGGACGAAGGGATTGTGGAAGAAGAAAGGAAGACATCGTTAGACCACCTGTCGCTCAGAGGGCTGGTGGGACTGTTGGGCCCTGGTAATCCTGAATCATTCCCAAACATGATTTCAGGTACGTTGACCATGGGAATCCGTGAAACTCTTGTGAAGGTGTCAAACAAATGTGCGTGGCGCTAAGGCGAGAGCTTCACTTTGAAAACCACCCGCCCTTCATCCGTGAACCTCTTGCAATTTTGAAGAATGGGCGCGGCGCTAAGGCGAGAGCCACATTTTGAAAACCACCTGCCCTCCATCCGTGAAGCTCTTGCAATTGCATAGGGCGAGTGTGCGTGGCGCTAAGGCGAGAACTACAGTTTGGAAACCACCCGCCGTTCTTCGGTGAAGCTCAGCTATGTTTTGACGAATGTGCGTGGTGCTAAGGCGAGAGCCACATTTTGAAACCGAGCCGCCCTCCATCCGTGAAACTCTTTCCAACCCTTTAAGACGAATGTTCGCGGCGCTGAGGTGAGAGCCACATTCTGAAAACGATCCCCCTTCATTTAGTTTCAGGGTTATACATGGTGAGGAAAGGGTCAGGCGAACCGCGGGGTCCGCCCTTTCGGCCCGCCTCGGGGCGCGACGGGAAGGATTTATTTTTATGGAGAAGGACAGGAGGATGAGGAGGATGATGATGAGGATGAGGATGCTGCTGATGATGTGATGATGATGGCGATGACGATGATGATGCTGAGGCTGCTGCTGATGATGATGATGATGACGAATGATGATTTTTATTATGATGATGATGATGATGATGATGATGGAGCTGATGATGAGAAGCATAACTTGATGAGTGTGATGGTAATGATGATGATGATGCTGATGATGATGCTGCTGTTGATGATGATGATACTGATGATGTTGATGATGATGATGATGATGATGATGACGATGAGGATGAGGATGAGGATGATGATGATGATGATGATGATGATGATGATGATGATGATGATGATGATGATGATGATGATGATGATGATGATGATGATGATGATGATGAGGATGAGGATGAGGATGAGGATGAGGATGAGGATGAGGATGAGGATGAGGAGGAGGAGGAGGAGGAGGAGGAGGAGGAGGAGGAGGAGGAGGAGGAGGAGGAGTGGGAGGAGGAAGAGTGTGTACCTTTCTGGGTGTGGGGGGGTCTCCTCCCTCCTTTCGCCTTCCTCCGTCGTGCTTGTTGGTAGGTGAAGGTCGAGAGGGGATCGATTTATTCGTTGGTCGTAGGAGCCAAAGGTAATTGCGCTCGACAAGGCTGTCTCTTGCCCGCACGCCCCCGTGATGGCTTGTTTCCGTCACCTCCAGGGGAAGGCATCTCACAGGAAACCTCGTGCGTTCAACACGTTCCTCGTTGTGCCTGTGTTTGCCACCACCTGGAACCTCCTGGAGCTGATTGGCACGCTGGACCCGACGAGCTGGAGTTTATGTTTTGGCCAGTTCCGGCGTCCAAGGGCCGCTTCCTGCCGACCCAGGACGACGACCCAGGACGACTGACCAGTGTTGGGGATGTGGTCGAAAGTTCTTGGGCCAGCGCTGTACCAAAAACACACGGCGTCGGAGGTAGTGGGAGGGGAGGGATGAGGAGGTCGGGAGGAGGAGGTGAGAATCTGTCTCCCCCTCCAAAGGTGGGGACAAGTGCAGGCCATTCTGGTCTGCCTGCCAAGCTAGAGAGCATCAAAGCCTTGCCTCTCCTCCCCTCTCCCTCCCTCTCCCCCTCCCTCCCTCCGCCTCCGCCTCCGACTCCGTCTCCGCCTCGACCTCCCCCCTCTCCTCCGCCGACCCCTCCTCCTCCACAGTCGCTTCGGTTTCCCGCTCCCCCTCCGCTTCAGCATCCGCTTCGTTCTTCAGATCTATGTCGGGGAACCTCTCTTCGTGGCCGCGGGTCGCCGAGGCCAGAGCAGCCCCCCTTCGCCCTTCCTTTGGGCGGTCCCTGTGGCAGCGCGATGACTGGACCCCTTCCCCCGCCTCTGTTTTGGCCTCCCGCTCCATTCGGTCCACCACAGGAGGGACTAAAGGGCTTGTCTGGCCACTGCGAGCCTCGGCCACGAGGAGGTTCCCCGACCCTGAAGCTAAGGAGCGAGGCGCAGGCGGAGGCGGAGGCGGGGGGGTAGGCGGAGGGGGAAGCGGAGGCGGAGGCAGCGGCGGAGGGGAAGGGCCTCGCCATTGGCCGCGCCCCTCCGTTCTGTGGCCCCCCCCCAAAAGACCGGGTGCATGCGCGGCGACCAGTGCGACTTCGCGCACGGGACGGAGGAACTCAGCCTCGCACCGGACCTCACGAAGACGTCCATGTGCAAGGCGGCCGGGCGGGCCAGGCCTTCTCCTGACACCTTCCTGGTCTCCGCTGGAGAAGCCTGATGAGTGGTGCAGTCAACCCGCATAGTAAGGATGAGCGAATTTCCAAGCATCCTTCCCCTTTCGGCCCATCCTTGGCCGCCTCCACTGGCCGCGCCCCGCTCGCAGAGTGTCGACATGGCCTTTCAAGGCCCTTGCATCCGTCTCGTGCGTCCTTAGTATACGGGTTGACTGTACTGAAGGGCGTCGGTGGACAAGCACACGTTGGCGCCAACACTCATTCTTTGGTCGGCGACAACTCGAGTCCAGGAAGCGGTCGGAAAACACTGGGGCGCAGCGGCAGACCGATGGGGACAGGGGGCGAGCGCCGGAGCGAGAGCGCGCGGGCAGGGAGATCCGGGAGGGGGCGAGGCCACACTCAGAGTATCCAGCACGTGTGCGGGTGCCGGTGGCGTGTAAGAGCAGCAGCAGGTCGAAATCCTTGGAGAACGACCATGCAAGGAAGAGAGCAGGCCGCGTAGAAGCGTCCCCGAGGGTCGAACGATCAAACGACCGTGATGCACAGCCTGACCGGGATAAGCTCCAGCATGTGCCCTGGAGGCCTGCACGAACTTGCGCGGGGGGAAATCCTTCAGGATCCATGCGCAAGATGAGCATGAAGAGGCGCCCGACAAGGCGTGGAGCGTTCGTCGATGAGAAGGTCGAGGATGCACGAAGTGCAGCCACGGCCGGGCGAGGCCACACAGTGCCACAGCAAGCAGCCATTGGCCAGCGAGGCTGGCGGCGGGCACGACACATTTCGGCCTGGGGGGAGGGGGGGAGGGCAGGCAGAGGCGGGCAGGAGGAGCGGCGCGGGGGCGCCGCGGAAGCACCAGGGCGGCAAAAAGTCCAGGCATCGATTGGAGACAAACTGGGTAACCAGGGGTGCAAGAAGCCCAGGCGTCGATGAGAAGAGCGGGCATGCGAGAGACATCATAACCCAGGTCGGATGCGAGCCAAGACGAGATCCCCAAGGTGTCCCAGGATGACGGGGGGGACATGCCGGGCGTCCTCCATGCCGTGCGCGGAGCCAGCTGACGCGTGGTGGGGCGCGAGGGCAGGGGTGCCGAGCCTGCTCAGAGGGCTCAGAGGACGAACTCGGCGAAACCAGGTCTGAGCACTGGGAAAGAGACAGGTGCGCCTGGGACCAGGTCATGGCGACAAGGTGGGAGTCTGAGTGCACGCGCGGTGAAGCGCCGTTTAGCGCGTATCGTAGGGCCTCTGGCGTTGCGATCCCAGCCAGAGGCCGGGTCCCAGCTGTGCTGGGAGGCGCCTTCGGTGTAGCCCTTGCTGGGGCCGTGGCCCTTGCCCCTAGCAAGGTCCCTCTGCTGGTTCCTGGCCTCGGGCATCCTCTGCGCCTCTTCCCAGTCTACTGGAACCCCTTGCTGCAGCGCCCACCGGGTCACGTCGTATCCAGCGTGTGCTAGGTCGGCCAGGAACTTCTCGGTGTCCTTTGCGAGTGCCTCTCCAAAGGGTGTAGCGGGCTGTTCTGGGGCGCTCGGCGATCCTTGGAGTAGTCCATGTGCTGGCAACAGTCGTGCCCGGCGCCTGATCACATGTCTCCCGCTTCCGACTGCAGGCGCTTTACCCTGGCCCCGGCGCTTTCTCTGGCCTGTGGCTCCCAGCCAGTAGCGTTGAAGCTGGTCTTGTAGAGGCTGGTGGGGGCCCGGCAGGACCACTGGGAGTCGCTGGGTGCTGCGGCGTCGGACCAGCTGGGGCGGGACCACCGCCCTTGCTGTTCGTTCCAGCCGCGCCCGTTTTGCCAGGTTGAAGTCGGGCGTGTCCCTCTACATGAGGAGTAGTCACACATAGTCAAAAAATAGTCTGGGGACGATTTTTCGATTATTTTTGATTTTTTGTTGGTTTTGTTTGGTGTTTGGACCATTTTTGAAGTTTTCTTCCACAATCCGCCTGCAGGAGGACATGCCCGACCCAATGCCAGGTGCTCCAGGCGTCGTCTTGGGTTGCCCCTTTTTTGGGGGGGGGGTTCGACGGCCGCGGGGCCGGCAGGTTGGGGCGGAGGAGCTGGGCCCAGCTGGAGCTGACCCCGTCCTCCCCCCCTCCTTTGTTCGGCGGACGGGCTGGCCCTGGTCCTAAGTCGGGCATGTCCCTCAGCAGGAGGAATATTCAAAAATGATCCAAACCCGGCCTGACCCTGGTGTCGTCCAACCCAATCCACCTACCTCTGGTCTCGTCCCAACCGGTCCTGACCTGACCCTGGACTCGTCCTAACCTAACCCAGGAGGAAATGCCCGACCTGAGCCTGGTCTCGTCTTCGGACTCGTCTGCCTGGTGGATGTCCGCTGCCAGGCTCTTTTGCGCTCCTCTGCGTCGGAGGCAGTCGGCGGACCCGTCGGCGCCCTCGTCCTTGGCCACGGCTGCCTGGAGCGGATCGGCGCCTCTTGATTCGAGCATGGGAGAAACGGGTGGACCCCGTCGTTTTCCCATACGCTAACGAGGGACACAATGCCGACGTCTCGGTCGGACTTGAGCCAAAAGTGAAACAGTACAAACTCTGCAGGGTCTGAGGTGAGGCTGGTCACGCTGCCGTGCCCAGTCTCACCAGAGCGCCCTGGAGACGATGCCCGTTGCCAGGCAGAGCGTCGCAGGTTCCAGGAAAACCGCTCTCAAAATCTGGGGCCTTCCCCCAGGACGAGCTTTTCATCCTGAGCGGTGTTCCGACGGTCCCGGGGCCCGTGGAGGGCCCCGAGAGCTCGAAGACGGCGAAAAACCTCGGGGCCCGTGCTCCTCGGGATCCGCCTTCCCCCGCTGCAGTGTCTGGTCCTCCCGTGAGTCTGCAGGCGCTGCCGCTCTGCAGAGGCGTCTCCCGGGCGCGCCGCCTTCCCGGATCGACTCCTGCCCGCCGCAGCTGGCGCGGCCTGTGCCTGCCCCGCGCCTGGCCCGTGCGCCTCCCAGCGCCCGAAGCCCCGGCGGCAGCCACTGCCGGTGCCTGCCGGCGCGATCGGCGCTTGCGGCGGCGGAGCCTCGTTCGGCGGCGATCCCGGGGGGGGGGAAGCGAGAGGGAGAAGGGCTTCTCGGGAGGCTCGGAAGTCCCCCGGCCTTCTGGGAAGTTTCCCAGGCCTTCGCCGAAGGCGCAGGAGACTTCCCCAGAACGCGCGAGGGCTTCTGAGAAGTCCCGCCGCCTGCCGAGAAGGCCTTCTCTCCTTCTCATTTCCCCCCCCCCCCTGCTCGCCGCCGATCCTCGGCGGCTGGCGGCGAGGCGGACGCGTTCCCGAGGCCCAGGGACCTGGCCCCGGGCTGGCGTCGGTGGCGGTGGGGGGGCGGAGCGAGCCGATTCGAGTATGGGAAAGCGCTGGCGGACGGCTGGTAGCCAGTCGCCCTGGGCACTGTCGAGAGTCCCATGCCTCGGGGGCGGTGGCCCGCGAGCGGGCCCGACTCCGGGCTGGTGATGCCCACCTGCACCAGGAGATGTCCTAGGACGGCGCTGTCGTACCCGCCATTTTCAGAGCCGATCCTGGACGCTGCATCGGCCACATGCTCAGGAGGGGAAACAACACACAGACACAACGAGTCGTCGTCGACTCACAGGAAGCATGGGGAAACAGGGGCAGCGGGGGGGGTGGAAGACGAAAACCCCGAAGGTGTGGGAAGATGTGGTGAATCCTGGGATCTGTGCCCACTGATCTCTGTGCCCCGGGGCCCCTGTACACATGCGGCCCCCCGCGGTGTGCCGTGCACTTTCTCTCTCTCTCTCTCTCTCTATGGCCGGGCACCGTGCCGCCTCGGCGCGTGGCCCGAGCACCTCGTCCCAGACCGTCCCCTGAGAGGGGGGAGGAATCAGGAGGGAAAAAGCACACACACAGACACAACTAATCGTCGGTTCCCCGAAGAATATGGGAATCCATGGGAAGTGGGGGAGAAGACGAGGATCTAGAAACTATCAGAAAATATGGGGAATCCTGGGATTTGTGTGTATGTATTTGTGTACCTTTGCGCCCTCAATGAAATCGTCTGGTACAGAGGCCAGGCCCTTGGTGTTCAGGGTGGCCCCGCAGTGGGACCCACATTGGGTAGCCCTCCTCCTCCTCCTCCTCCTCCTCCTCCTCCTCCTCCTCCTCTTTCTCCTCCTCCTCCTCTTTCTCCTCCTCCTCCTCCTCCTCCTCCTGTGCCTAGATGCAGGAAGCTGCAGAGCTGCCACTCTCGCTCGTCTGGTGCCGGTGGGCCAGGTCCGGAGGCAGCGCGAGGCTCGGCCAGGGCGGGCTGCGGTGCATCCCGCTCCCGGGGGGGCTGGCCCCGGGCCCAGTGCAGGGGCACGCAACGTTCTGGTCTTACCCCTCTCTCGCCACGAGATTGCCACAAGAGGAGGAGGAGGAGGAGGAGGAGGAGGAGGAGGAGGAGGAGGAGGAGGAGGAGGAGGAGGAGGAGGAGGAGGAGGCGGAGGAGGAGGAGGAGGGAGGAGGAGGAGGAGGAGGAGGAGGAGGAGGAGGAGGAGGAGGAGGAGGAGAGGAGGAGGAGGAGGAGGAGAGAGGAGGAGGAGGAGGAGGAGGAGGAGGAGGAGGGAGGAGGAGGAGGAGGAGGAGGAGGAGGAGGAGGAGGAGGAGGAGGAGGAGGAGGAGGAGAGGAGGAGAGGAGGAGGAGGAGGAGGAGGAGGAGGAGGAGGAGGAGGAGGAGGAGGAGGAGGAGGAGGAGGAGGAGGAGGAGGAGGAGGAGGAGGAGGAGGAGGAGGAGGAGGAGGAGAGGAGGAGGAGGAGGAGGAGGAGGAGGAGGAGGAGGAGGAGGAGGAGGAGGAGGAGGAGGAGGAGGAGGAGGAGGAGGAGGAGGAGGAGGAGGAGGAGGAGGAGAGGAGAGGAGGAGGAGGAGGAGGAGGAGGAGGAGGAGGAGGAGGAGGAGGAGGAGGAGGAGGAGGAGGAGGAGGAGGAGGAGGAGGAGGAGGAGGAGGAGGAGGAGGAGGAGGAGGAGGAGGAGGGGAGGAGGAGGAGAGGAGGAGGAGGAGGAGGAGGAGGAGGAGGGTTCTGGCCCACGAGATCCTTCAGTCGCTGCTGGTGCACCAAGACATGGTGCGCGATGCCGCATGCACCGGGTTGGCCACAGATTTCGCGCCATTCCGACCCCGCTCCCGTGGCTCTGGTGAGCCAGTCCACCACATGGCCCAGCATGCGCAGGTCCGAGTTCCAGGAACGCCTCGCCGCTGGCGGGATCGCGGCTGCGTACCCAGAGGGCCAGATGTTCTCGGCGAAGTGCCGCAGGAGCTGCTCGCTCTGGGTGTCCACGTTGTAGGTGTCGCTGGCTGCTGGGTGCTGGGCGCAGAATGCCCTGTAGCACTGGTCAGTCTCGAACCCCAGGAGTCTGCACTACCAGGTGGCCCTGATCGGGTCCTGGCGGGACAGGTTCCCGATGGCGAGGTTGACCAGGTAACTAGCTGGGCAGCTCCAAGCATGGGCAGGGAGGGAGCGCCGGGCACCAGTTCGGAGCCCCCCCCCCTTTTCCGTCGTCGGGCCCGCTTTTCTTCGTCTTGAGTCTGGCTCCCTTCGTGGGGTGTTCGTCGGAAGCTGGGTAGACAGCGCGCGTCTTGCCTGCGGGCGGGCCTGGGGACCGGGGACCCGTCGCTGCCCCACCAATGACGGCGCGCTCTTTGGCCACCTCTTCGCCGTCGTGCGTCTGCGCGCGGTGGCCGCTGCGAATCTGCCTTGCCTGCCGACTCGCTGCCTTGCTGGTCCAGGACGATGCAGGATGGGAAAAGATACACAGATGCAATGAATCGTCGACCCCCCAGAGAACGTGGGAAAATATGGGAAGTGGGGGTGGGAAGACGAAAACCCCGAAGACATGGGAAAGTATGGGGGATCCTGGGATTTGTGCCTGTGTATTGGTGTGTCCCAGGGCCCCTCTGATGATGGGCTTCTGCCGCAGCTCGTGCACCAAGGCAGCCTCCTCCTCGGAGAGCCCCGCCTGGATGGGCGCTCCGGGGGCCAGGGTCGCGCTCGATGGGGCGCGCGGGCTGGGCGCCCACCTTTTGGAAGAAGAGGCCCGTCCAGCGAGCGAGGATGTCGTCGCGGTCTGACGGGCAGGCGCGTCGTAAACATCGATCAGGCAGTCGCGGCAGATCCAGGCGGCGTTCCAGTGCTTCCCGCGAAGCATCTCGCTCCAGCAGGGGAAGGGGGCCATCTCCTGGATCAGGCCCACTCCGTTCCCAGGCCCTGGCTTGTCAGCTCTGTAAACGTTGGCACTGGCACACGTTCTGAGGTTTCGTGACGAGAAGGACGCTGAGGTAAAGGCCGCTTTTCGGTTCCGGAGGGGCTCCGGTTTCCGGGCCGTTCCTTGGATCCGGGTTGGGGAGTTTGTTCGTGGCCCAGGCCCGCCCTGGCCAGAAACGCTCGTTGCCGATTCAGTTTTCTTCCCTGGTAGCACGGTGACCTTGCCTGTGCGATGATGCCCTGTTCGCCAACCCCCTCGTGCGTGCGCGCTCTGCTGCCGTGGTGCCTCACGCCCTCCGCTCCCGTGCGGGGAGCGAGGAGCCTCCTTGAGGCCCCCCTCGTCGGACTTCATGCTTTGACTTGGGGAGGGGAAGGGAGGCGATGGTGGGAGGAGGGGAGAGGGAGAGCGGGAGAGGGACAAGCTATGCGAGCCTGTGCCCTATCTGACATCCAGCACGTCCTGACCCATCCCTCCCCACTGCGCGGATTTTTCTCTGTCCGTCGACGGGTCTGGGACGAGGGAACTTGGAGGAGGAGGGCCAGGATCGGGCCAAGGGCCCGCAGACGTCGGAGCGGACCGCCGTCGAGGCAGCGGCAGCGTCGGAGCCGATCCGTCGCGAGATCCGCGAGACGTCCATGCTCCGGTCGTGGAACGTGGGTATTTTTGGGCTCCCAGATCCCAATCTGCTTCCAGCGCCCTCCTACTTCAAGAATCGACGTGCTTTTGCTGTGTGGAGGGCCTGGACCCAATCCACTCTATCCGCCTTCCTGCTTCATCTCTTTACCTGCTTCTTCCGGCCGGCGTGTATGGTCTATGCTTGTGCGGAACGCGTGCGGACATGCCGGATGCGATCGGTGGGGCTCTCGCGAAGGGCTGCCGGTGGCCAGAGGGCGGGGGCGTCGGAGAGGGGGAACACATCGATCCTGTGCCCAGGAGGAGGAGGAGGAGGAGGAGGAGGAGGAGGAGAAGGAGGAGGAGGAGGAGGAGGAGGAGGAGGAGGAGGAGGTGGTCAGTTGACGTCCCCCGAGGGGTGGGGTGCGCGCGGAAGCGAGGAGGTGGCAGAGTGGGGCAGGGAGAGACGGGGAGACGGGGAGACGGGGATGATGGAGAAGGGGTTTCAACGACGCGTGATTGCCCTCCTGCCTTCGGGCTCGCGTGGCTGGATGGTGCTGATTCGCATGATCAGCGACAAGCACGACTTACAGCGATTACTTGTTTCTGCGCGTTGTAGCTCGTTTCAGATCTCACACCAGTCTCAGTGTGAGTCACGGCCTGCGTCCACATTTGCACTCACGTTGGCATCCAAAGTCGCATCTGCAAGTACGCGGGGATCTGTGTCCGCATCGTCGCATTGTGTCCCTCCTCCCGCCCTCCAGCCTCCCTCCTCCCTCCCCACTCCCCCCTCCCCTCCCCGCTCCTCCCTCGTCCCTCGCTCCTCCCTTCCCCCTCCTCCAATCTCCCTCCTCTGTCCACGACGCCGTCGGCGACGGCGACGAGGACGACGACGCCGTCGCCGACGGCGATGACGACCCCGAGGCCTGGCAGAGGGGGCGCTGCAGCCTGGACTCGGGCGCCTGCCCATACGCGCACGGCGCCAGCGAGCTGCGGTGCACCACCGGGCGCCCCCGCGCGGGCCAGCGACGAGGGGAGGACGCACCTGCGGAACCGCATGGGGCGTGGGCGCCTCTTGCTCCAGCACGCACGCTCAAGAACTTCATGCTCTGAGCGTACACGCCGGTCGTTGAAAGTAGGTACTTTTGGATTCCCAGATCCCAATCTACTTCAAGCGCCTTCCCACTTCAAGAATCGACACGCTTTTGCCGTGTTCTGTTATTCCCTGGGGTGGCCTGGACCCAGTCAACTTAATCCGCCTTCCTACTTCATGCTTTTAACTACTTTTTCCGACCGGCGCGTACTCTTGTCCCTTGCCGTGCGCGCTGTCTCCTCCTCTGCCTGTTGTGCCCAATCGGGCCCCCGTAGCATCCCTCGGCTGCCTTCGAGCGCGGTGTGGATCCTCGCCGCTGCGGTCAAGAAAGTGCTGTGGGGCGCCTGCTATCCTGTGGGAGATTGCCAGGGCTTGCGGTCGCCTGGCAGACGCTGCCGTGATACGGCCGCTAAACATCGGTATGCTGCTTTGGCAAGGAAGCTGGCGGCCTACTCTGAATGGAGTCATCGCCCCCCCCCCTTGGATCCGCCAGGGGGGGGTTGGGCACGTGCTGTCGGAACGGGTTGAGTGGATTTGGAGGAAGAGGAGGAGGATGAGGAGGGGGAGGACGACGGAGGGGGGCGGGATTGGGCAGGCCCAGTCAGAAGGTTAATCACCCCTCCCTGGATAAAACAAAACCATCTAGAGCTCCTCCTCCTCCTCCTCGTCCTCCTCCTTCTCTTCCTCCTCCTCCTCCTCCTCCTCCTCTTCCTCCTCCCCCTCCTCCCTCCTCCTCCTCCTCCTCCTCCTCCTCCTCCTCCTCCTCGTCCTCCTCCGTAGCCATTTTGGCTCAAGCCATTTTGGCTCAAGCGTTGCAGGAACAGTTCTTCAGAAGGGCCCGCGTTCCTGCGAGCCTTTTTTCGTTTCTGCGGGCGGAGTCCCGCGCTTCCTACCACGATACCCATCCAGTTGTGTGCGCGATGGCGGTACCTTCCCCAGCAGCGGCGAACTGGGGAGGGCCGATCCCGCCTTGGCAGCTGGAGGCGCAGCAGCAGCAGTATGCCCAGTCCTTCAACAAAGGCAAAGGATTCGGCAAAGGAGGCAAGACAGGTACTACGTTCGGTGGAAAGGGTGGCGCCCAGCACGGCGATGCACCCTCATCGAGATGGACTTGTCCGAGCTGCGGCTGCAAGAAGAACAAGCAGGCTTGGCAGCAGTGCAAACACTGCTGGGCTTGGCGTTCGTCACCAGCGTTCCAACAGCCCGCCGCTCCTCGCGGAGTGTGGGCACAGGGGCCGCCGCCCCCAGGGACATGGGCTGCTAATCCGATGCTGGCTCCCGGTGGTGCTGCTCCTCTTCATCCTGGCCCGCAAGTTCCGGGCGCAGGAGGAGCCCAGCTACCCCCCGACGAGAACACTCGGATTGCATCACTGGTACAGTTGTTGCGAGCCCAGGGTGACGAAGAATCAGCAAAGCGTTATCAACACAAGCTCGACGAGATGGCCGCAGCCAAGAAGGTTGAGCCCCCCTTGCAGCAGAAGGTCAACCAGGCGTACCACAGCATGCGGAGCTTGGAGGCCCGACTGTCCAAAGCGGTGGAGTCCTTCGAGCGCATCTCCAACGAGCTGGTCCAGGCCCGCGCCAATGTGGAGTCCATTACTTCGCAGTTGGAGGCCTCGGAGAAGCTACACAAGGAGCTGGTGGAGCAGTTGCACCAGTCGGTGGATGATCGGCCTCGGAACCCCGAGGGCTCTGTCAAGCAGGAGGTCAAGATCTCCATCTCTGACCTGCTTGGTGGACAACCGCTACCCATTGACATGTCCAGCCTTTTGGAGTGGGAAGCAGACTACGACCTCAACGAGGAGGACAGAAACGAGGCTGCGGCTCGGCTCAAGACACTCAACGACGAGATCCAAAAGCAGGCGAAGAAACTCTTTGGTGCTGCGCAGGCACATGCTGAACGCGTTCGTAAGGAGATGGAGGAGCAGAAGACACGCTTGGCTGGCAAGAAGCGGAAGGTTCTTGTACCAGGTGCCGCTGCAGGAGATGAAGATGATGGTCCGCAAGTGGGTCATTCAGCCACTGCGCAGGCTCCTGGTGGTGAAGCTCCGGAGGCTGGTCAAGAGTCGACTTCCCCCACGGCGGCTCCATCAAGCGGTACGGGCGCGCCATCGGCGAGTTCTGATGCCAAGGCGCGTGCAGCCAAGATTTTACAATCAGACCCCCCCAAAGGTGACAGCGCCTGAGGGGGGGAGCCAGCGAGATCAGAATTTTTTGTCTTCTTCCAACGGAGGGGGTACCTCCCCCACTGCAGCCTGTGTGTTGGCCAGCCCTGAGTGGATCTCCCAGGGCACCTCTGAGTTACATGCGGTCTCTAATACTAATTTTTTGTGGGCCCACTGTGGCCCTCTCGTTCGGGCGGTTCAGCATGCGTTAGCCAGGGCCAAGGGGGCCCTGCTGGCGAATGGTGTTTCTGCTCGGCCGTCGAAACCCATGACCCTTAGGGGCCCGCTTTTGCCTGGTGTTCCTCCCAGGTCCGATGTGCAGTTGATCAGGCCCATGGAGGCCAATGCTTTTCCTGTTGAATCTTTTTCGCCCTCAGTTGAAACCTGTAATGTCTCAGGGTGGGGGCCTGGCCAGCTCTGGTTGCAGAAGACTAGTGCTGATATCGTGATCATGCAGGAGCATAAGCAGTTGGCTAACCAAATCGATTCTGGTTCTTCCTGGGCTAGACGCCACGGGTGGAAAAGTTTATGGAGTGCTGCTGTGCCTGGTGATGGTCAAGGCCCGTCATCAGGAGTCGCTCTCTTTGTTCGTGATGGGCTTGGTCTGCGGGCTCCTGACTCTGGAGCTATCATTATACCGTCGAGGGCTCTGGCAGGCATCGTCGAGGTGCCTGGGCAGCCCACGTTTTTGGTGATGGCCGCCTACTTCCATGACTGCCAGGACCTCTCGGATTCAAACATCGATATCTTGTGTTCGTGTTTGTCCCTGGGGGAGGGCCTCGGTTTCCCTTTTTTCCTGGGCGCGGATTTTAACATGGAGCCTGAGCAGCTCCTGACTGGGGGCCTGGGGGACCAGAAAAGCATCCAGTTCCTGGTGCCTGAGGGTCACACGATGAAATCTGTTGCGGGTCTTAAGCAGTACGATTTCTTTATTGCCTCCTCTGACTTGGCCAAGACGGTCAGCAGTGTGCAGGCCATCCGTGACACCAACCTCTGTACGCATGTCCCAGTCAGGATTAGCATGCATCCGCAGTTCGGGCGGTTGCAGGCTTTGTCTTTTCGGAAACCCCCTCCGCTGCCCACGTCGCCTCTCCCGCCTGTGTTCCTCGTCGCCGCTTGTGAGCCTCCGACGTGGCTGCATGATGTGCTGGACTCGTCTCGTAGAGCGGCGACGGTGGGGGATTTCGAACGAGTTCAGGACTCGGTTGACTTGGTCTATAAACACTGGGCGAATGCTGCCGAGCGTGAGGTCTCCGCGGCCACGGGTAAGGTCCTTCCTGTTTGGGGTTCTCGTGGTAAGCCTCCCCAAATGTGCTGGCGCCCAGTGCTGTCCAAGGACTCTGGCAAAGGCGATGGCACACTGTTTGCTGCTAGGTGGCTGACCAATCTCTTTAGAGAGTTCGAGTGCTACTGGACCGTGGGAGACCAGTCTGGCATCGGACGGGTGCTCGAGCGCCTGGAGCAGCCACCAGCTCAGTGCGCCGCTGATCTAGGCCAGATGGAGAATTTTAGGTCTTCGCTGGAGGAGTTTGTCCGCGAGCTCCCGATGTACGAGCCAGCAGACGGCCCAATGCTTGACTTTTTCCATCACTTGCATGAGATGTGCCGTGACATGCTTGTGAATATTGAGGCTGCTTCTAGGAAGCTTGCCAGGAAAGAGTTCAAGGAGTGGTTACTGTTTAAGGCGAATCGGGGAGCCCGAAGGGTCCACACCGTTTCCAAAGGAGCGACGCCATGGGTCCCCACCACCACCCTGTCTTTGGACGGAGTGGTGGTGGCGGACCCCTTGTCGTTGCTCCAAGCTGAGTCCAAACGTTTTTCCGACCTCTGGGGGGATGCTGGTGGGGGTCCCTGGTTCCATGTTGGTGAGCTTGCCCCTGAACTTCCTGAGGTTCCTGTGGAGGCGATACGTGAGTTTTCCAGGCGTTTCAAAATCAACACTTCTGTCAGCGTCGACGGATTTCACATGCGGCATTTCTCTTTCATGAGTGATGAGCTGCTCAGCATTCTGTGTGGTCTGTTTGCCGTGATGGAGCTCACGGCGCTGATACCGAGACAGGTGGCCATCACTCTCCTTACGTTGATCCCGAAACCAGCTTCTGGTTTTCGCCCGATTGGGAATTTTTGTGCGATTTACCGTGCTTACGGTAAGGTGCGGAGGCCCCTGGCCCAGGAGTGGGAGTTCAAAAACGCTCGGAGTTTTTTCGCGGCTGGGCCCTTCGAGGGGGCCCAGGACGTGGTGTGGAGACAGGCGGTCCGTGCGGAGACCTCGACCTTGTGTAAAGATGAAGCTGCCACGGTCCTGCTCGATCTTTTCAAATATTATGAGACAATTGATCTCAAGTTGCTCCTGTGGCGTTGCAAGCAGGTGAATTTCCCCCTCGCGATCGCTCGGCTCGCGATTGCGATGTATCTTCAGGCTCGGTTTTTTGTGTTGAACGGGTTTGTGGATGGGCCCTTCTGGGCCTCGGGGGGCATCATCGCGGGGTGTACGTTTGCCACCGCGTTGATCAGAGTGTACTCGATTGCTTCCCTTGACACGCTGTGCATTCCGCCACAGGTGCATTTTAAGTTGTATATCGACGACTCTGGCCTCAGTGCTACGGGGTCGCGGCGATACATTGTGGAGCATCTGCCGCCGGTGGTCAGAGCCTTGGTTTCTATTCTGGAGGAGGGGATCGGAGCTAAGGTGAGTCAAGATGTGGGAAAGAGATCCTTGATCGCTTCTTCTAAGGCGCTTGGGCGTGAT